CCATGGTCCCCTGTGGGAGCCCCATCACTCCTCACTGCTCCATGTCCTCTCCCCAGTGCACTGGGCAGCCCTCCCATGCACGTCCTCGGAGCTTTTCTCTACTGGTCTTACCTTTGCTGCCCCTGCCACCACCATCTCTCTTCCCTGTAACTGACTCTGCTTCCCACATGTTGGGGAAGCTGGCAGGCTGCAGAGGGCCCTGATCACACCCTCCATGTCCTAGATCCCCAAAGGGAGAGTCACCTCGTTTCATCTCAGCTCCAGGCTGACCTCTGTCCCTTCCCTCTATGGTTCCCACCCCAGAATGTGAGCAGCGGGCCGCTTGTCACATTCCGGGTGCTCAGAGTGTGGTCTGGAGTCACAACACTGAAGCAGAACTGAGTTTCACAACTTACTAGCTGTTGATCTTGAGTTGGTGGGTTCTGTGCCTCAGTTTCCTCATCTCTGGCTTGAGAATAATAGTAGATGCCACTCATGGAGAGGTAGAAGGATTAAATAACAGCCATAAAGGCCTTGAGCAGTGGTAAACACTGCAGCAACATTAACTATTATTAGGGCATGTTTGTGATCATTGTCTGGGAAAGAAAGTGGAAATCATCCTCAAGTAGAAGAAGTGGAAGGAAGTTAGTTGAGTTCACTGGGGCTGACTTCTTACCCCACACTCAAAGTACATCTGGCTCTGGATAGTGGGGATCCCTGCTTTGATACCTCCCTAGAAAATATCAAAACTGCGAGTTTGTGGTTTTAAGGTAGCACTTCATCGGTCTACCTTAATTTCACGGTGCAGGCCTCCTGTTTCTTTCCACTGTACCTATTTGTTTCCTCCTGTGAACCCCAACACTGGTTGGTGCCATCTTCCTTCTCTTCCCACCTCTATGAAGGCATGAGTCTAGGCAAGAACATTCTGTCTTAGTGCTGACGTGGCGAACACACAGCGAAGCCTGGGCTGTGAGGGCTTTGCCACAGGTCAGACACCGCTGCCCAAGGCAGTCTTTATTATAGCAAACACCTGATGCTCCCTGGTGATGAAGAGGTCATCTTGGGACCCCTTCCTTCAGGCTTCGGGGAGAATGGGAGGAACACTGGCCCTCTCCGCAGCTGAGCTCCTTCTGTCCCAAGTGGCTGCCACTGTGCCAGCTGAGCCCCAGACTGGCTTCCACGGAGACACTCCTTAGCCCTTTCCAGGGAGTGTCTGCGGTTGGAAAACGGACTTCAGGCTTCTGAACCTTGTCAAGCTCGTGCTGAGCCCAAATGGAGAAGGCAAGCATGGGGGTGGCAGGGGCTCAGGAGAGGGAACTAGCTATTTTTGAGTGGCTGGAAATAAAAGCTAAACACAGGTGTGTTCTGCAGAAGTGGATATGTTCCCAAATCCACAAGATTTCTTTAAAAATAAACCAGAAAACAAGCCGTTCTGGTTGCTGTATTTAATTCTAGTTTCCAAGGATGCACACATCTAGTTCAGGGTCTCTGAGCCTACCTCCTTGAACTACAGAGGATTTATTATGGGCAACCACTAGAGGTGAATTTTCTAGGTGGAACTGACATTTATTAGGACAAAAACTTAAGGCAATGCCTGTCCTGTGACCCCTGATCTAATATGAAAAAGGTGGCAAAGGAAACCCCTTAACTGACTGTTGTTGTTGTTATGTGCTATCAAGTTGCCTGCGAACTCATAGCGACCCTACGTACAGCAGCTCTGAAGCATGTCCTGTCCTGAGCAAGTCTTAGTGACTCTGACACACCAACCCCTATCGGCCCTGTTACTGTATCAACCCATCTCATCTGGGGTCTCCCTTTCCTGCGCTGTCTATTCACCCTTCCAAGCATGCTGAACTGACTACCAAAGGAAAATACCAGGTGGAACCCAGGCTCCAAAGACAAAGATCTACAACTAGAGCAATTGACTATGGAGAAGAGAAATTCAGGCCTTGCTTCAACTCACACATATGGAAATGCACATGCAAAATGCTTCATCTTACAACAGCAATGACTAACAACTCCCATTCGAGCTTCTGAGTGAGTCCTCCCCGGGGAGGCACCAGGCTTCGCTGTGATGTCAGCAGTTTCACAGACTCCGACTCCAGACTCCATTTCTTCCACCTTCTGCAGGCAGAATTTGGCATGCTCTCTTTCCAACTGCTTCCTAAAATCTCGCCCACTTGGAATTCTTCTTTTCAGTAAGATTCGCAGCATGACAAGGAGCCCCAGAGGGACCTGGAGCAGCAGCAGCAGTTCCACATGTTCAGACATTAGTCAGGAGCTCGGATCCACCGGGATCCACAGGAGACAGATTACAGTCGGCTTCTTTAAAGATTTAGATAGTCTGGGAAACCCTATGTGCTGTCTACGCTTGATAGTGCCGAGCTGCTTTTGTAGCTCGAGTTCTGTAGCACGGCGGGCCTCCCCAAGAAGCTAAGGTGTGAGAAAGAGCCCCCCAAGCAGAAGTGGACACTCTGAGGATCCAGTTACTGCTGGCAAGCCCTCCCTGTGAGAAGCACGTCACACAGTGTCTTCTACGTCCATACAAAAGTCACTGTGGTTGGCGTCAAGGTCCTTGCTTTGCAGCCAAGGAAACTAATGTTCAGTAGACAGAATGGAGAAAATTCATGTGGAACCACCACATGGATGAAGGCCTCACAGACAGACTGAAGCTAGACTATCCAGGGAGGAAAAGGACCCAGAGAACGTACCTGGGTTCTACACTAAAAGGGAGGGAAGCCACTAGGTGGTCCATGGAGCAGAGGGGTCACTAAGCAAAGTAACGTTAGGGGTACAAAGGAAGCGCTGTTGTGTTACAGGCTGGAGAGAGGACTCAGGAAGAAAATGTCGACAGGGTCAAAGGCTTCTTGGCTCAATGTGGATGCAGGTTCAGGGGGACCAAGTGACAACATGACATGGGAATCCCAAGCCCAAGTGGCAAGACTGGTGTGCAAGCCACTCAAGGAAGCTGCGGTCTCAGGAAAATGACCAGTTCATGATTTAGAAACGCAGTACTAATATCTCCAGGCTCTGTGACAGTCTCCCAACTTGTCTGAAATACATTCAGTTTTTAAACGTGGAAAAGCTGCCATCACTCCGAGGAAACCCTGGAGAACAGCCCCTCACACCTGCTGCCCACTTCTCCCTCCTGTGTGGAGTGGGGCCCTGCCTGACCACCATCCTGACAAAAATCAGACTCTTTCTCAGACTGGAACTCCAGCTGGGATGGAGGCACAAAATCGTCAAGATAAATGTGTTCTCATCATACTATGTATATATTATGGCCAATACTCGAATCCAATGTGTTAACACAGAAATAGATGTGTTCATTTAAGAGCCTAGCCAAGTGGCTTGCTTTCTTGTCCCCAAATATTATTAAATGTCATTGATACATCCATCAAACTATTTGCCACACCTATTTTTCAAGTGAAAAGCAGCTGCTGTTCCTTACTCCTGAAACACACACACACCCCACACACACACTCAAAGCTAAGACTCCAGCCAAAGAAAAGGTAGGAAATAGCCTATGCCCCGATTGCAAAGAACAGTAGCTGTTGAACTCTCTGGTTCTGGTTGTTTTACCCTCATGGAGGGAAGAGGGAAGGGCTCTACTGCTTTATTGCGCTACAAGAACCCAGTATCTGTGCTAATTACCAAGTATCTGTATTAGGCTTCATGCCCACTTGACAACTTCCTTGTGCCATTTGTTTGACTAATGATACGGTAAACGTGGGAAATGCACTTGGAAAGCCAGGATTGTACGAGGGTGAGGGTGACGGTGAGGAGGAGGTGAAAAAGAAAACCAGCTTTGTCTCAGCTGCAGAAAAGGACACAGGGACAAACATCCCTTCTCTGGGCTTCACCTGCTACAGCTGTAAATGGAAGTGACGTCACTGGGGGGGTGGTACGTCTAGAAGAGCAAGGGTGATGGAGCTCTGGGGTGATGGAAGAAGCAGGGGATTATCTCTCACTACCAATCTCTCTGTCTCGGGCAGGCTACTTACCCTCTCTAGTCTCAGTCGCCTGGCATCTTCCTATAAAGGCACTTAAGACACACACTCTGAGAAGTTCCTTTGGAGAGTAACCATCCTCGAGTACAAAGGACAGCCCTGGATGGGGGCGACATCATGGCTCCTCCATCTCACTAAAGAACCAGAGGTAGTGTATTCCTGCGCCCCCCTCACCTTAAGTACATGTCGTCTCTTCTTCAGATCCCCTGGCCTGCTGAGGGTGTGCAAGCCATGGTGAACCCCAAGTCACACTTGTGCTAAGAGAATTACCAATTCCTGCCACTTACCTGGATTAACAACAACAATAAAAAAAATAAAACCACCTGCCATATCTTAAAGACTCTTCGGTTTTTCGTAGCCCATAATAACCACCCTGTACTTGGGAGAACAGGCTGTTTTTCTATTCGAGCCATCACTTAAATAATGCCACGTCCTTGGTAAGCACAAAAGCATAAACACCACAGAGTCAAGATCCTGTTAAACGGCGTCCCTTTACACAAATTTTTATAGTGCTCCATGTTTACAGGGCTCAGCATGTAATGGTAATGAAATCATCTGACCTTCTTAGGCCAAATAAGACAGGGGAAATTTTCTTGAGATGCCATCTGCCTTTGATCTGAACAACAAACATTCTTGAAGTCTGTTGGCCTATGAGGCATGGACTGCTTCTGCAAAGCCCCTCCTTGAATAATGATGACACAGAGCTTTGTAGCAAGGCCACTGCAGAGGACAAGTGCCTAGCCACGCAAGCCACCTTCGGGGCCAACCCTTCTGGGGCTGACGTGGTCTGCAAGGCCGTGCAAATCAGCAACTGGCCCAGGGCAAACAGAATCTGTTTCCTTCTTAGGGAGTCCGTTCACCCAGACTCATTGGGCTTGGCCTGACCATCTGGAAAGCAGCTCACCGTGGGCGCATGAAAACCCAGTGCTTCAAGGGCTGAAACAAACGCTTGCCCTCTGCAGGCAGCAAAGAGTTTCACAGTTTACACCACAAGAGAGAACCTTTGTTTACCTTATTGATGAGAGTGACTATGTCGCCTTCTTTGATTGTCAATTCATCGTCATTCTGTGCCTCATATGGAAATATCACTTTGCAGTAATCCTTGGCTGAAAGAAGAAAGAAAACAATCTTTAAAATGCTGTAAAATCTGAAGAGCTGGCCCAGGAGAGGCCGTCCTCCAGCAAAAAGCACGCATGTATCATTATACACATATGGGTGAATGCATATACTAACATAGATCTAAGAAAGAACAAGGATTTCAGATTTTGCCTCACTTCCTTCTTCCCTCCATCATTTAAGCAGGAACAGGGTATCTGTACATATTACAAAGTAGGCATCATGCAACAAGCGATAAAAAAAGGATCCAATCATGGCATGTCTTAAGAGGCAGATGCTGATATGTCTGTATGTGATCACATGTATATACATTTTCACTGATTGACTCACAAGAACAATCAACAATACTGATCAAATATTCTTTATACACGTGTGTGTGTAGGGGTGGGGAGGTGAACTTTGTCAGCTAGGTGTCATGGGAACCTGCTATTCGGTCATTGCGGTTAGGTGCTGTTTAGCGACCCCATGAACACCACATTTGAACCCTGCCCTAGCCTGCACCATCCTCATCATCTCGGATATGGCCATTATGGTAGTCATTCTGTCAGTCCTGACCCTCTACCTTTCCCAAAGTGACGTCTCTCTCTAAGGACTGGAATTATGCCCAAAGTAAGTGAGATGAAGCTTCACTGCTTTTGCCTTTGAGTAGTAATCTGGTTGCCCTTCCTTTAAGACATTTCTGTTTGTTCTTATGGCAGTCCAGGGGATATACAATACACTTCACCAAGGCGCCAAATCAAAGGCATCAACTCTTCTTCTGTTATCCATATTCATTATCCAACTTTCAGATGTACAGCAAGTAACTGAAAATTAATGGAGGGTTGGGGTTGTTTTTTTTTTATCAGCAAGCAAATGTCCTAATCTTCTAAAAAAAAAAAAACAGGAAAAATACAAAGGACACTAAAAATCAAAGAGCTCTGAATTACATGCTTTTGAAACTATAATTGATGATGTAAATGTTCGATTTTCTCTAGTTACACACAAGAACAGGTTGTGAAAACATTAGTGTGAAGATACTTGTTTTGTAAGGTAGTTGGGAAGTTAAGCCTTAGATACACTAGGGTTTGATGATTACTGGGACAGGAATGCATTATTCCGCATCAATGTCAACAATCCTAATGGCTTTACATACTTCCAAGGATTGGGTCAGTTCCTGCAGACAGATCCGAACTTAGAGCAATACATGAAAGTGTAAATTATATTGCCCCAAGTACAATTCATATCACTGAAATGTGTTTATTACCATTAACATACCATCAATCAAGGACGGTTTCATAGAAAATATCCAATCAAGAAACCCACAATACATGTGTACTGTGTTTTAGGCTTGGATATGTAAGAGAGAGCAAGAGAGAAAGACAGACACTGACTAATTTCATTTCATTGTAGATAATTTAGTTTTCTGTCCAATGGCTTGAAGCTTTTACCCTAGTGTGGGAATTCTTGGATCTTAGATCTTGTGTATGTGGCTGACATGATAGCTTTTGTTCATTAACTTGTATTAAAATCTGATCAACACCAACTCAACCAAGTAAGACCCTTTTGTGTCAGTTTGATCCCCGCCCGCGGTCATGCTGTAGAACAGAGCAGACTGTTCCACATGGTTACCCATCTTTCTGGACACAGACTGCTGCATCTTGTCAGAATGGCTGCTGGGTTGGAACCACTGACTTTTTCATTAGCAAGCAAGTGCTCTAATCACTGCACCACCAGGGAACTATTAATACCAACATGCCCATTAAGTATCTCTAAACTCACCAACATTCTACCTCTCTTTAATTTGTAGCAGCAAAGTTTCCAAATGCAGAATCAAGCAGATGCTCTAACTCCCTCTAAAAAGGGAGAGTCCAAAGAGAGGGGAAAAGTTAAGCATCTTTAAAGTGGATAATGGTAGCCTCTTACCAATTTTCCTATTGACTGTGCTAGTGAAATATGAGACTCAGCCTCAAAACTCACAACACGGAAACAGTATTATTGAAGAATCACCATGCAAAGTCCTGGCTTAAAGAGTAATTCTTTGGGTGCAAGCCATGGAGGCATTTCACAAAAACGTTCAGACATCAGTGGCCAACTATAAACAAAGGAACAGGTCATGTTTCCATTTCTTTCAGTTAAAAAAAAAATTTAAACAATTGTGGCAAATACTGTGGGCGAACTACCCAGCAAACAGGTCCTGCCCCTTTCTGAGACCAGAGAATCTTCTTTTTCTTTTTAGATGTGATTTTTCAGGAAGTGAACCAACTCAACTCAACCAGCTTCATGTCAACAACTCAACCTCTTGACGTGAAGTTGGAACTAACTTGTAGCTGACCCATGAGTGAGATTCAGAACTGTCCACCTGTCTGTCTCTCACCAAGCAGCTGGGGGATTCAAACCACCAAAGACGGGTGACCTGGGGGCTGGCAGTGAAACGCCTCAGGCACTATGCAGCCAGAGCTTCCCCCTGCAGCCCCAAGGCTAAGTAAACTATGTTAGATCACATCATGTTAGTGCCACTCCTGCTGGTCAATGACTGGTTTAAAGTGGGTGCGTGGTCTATTTTCAGTCAATGAAGTCTGCTGGGGAGGAGGTTCCATTTTCCTGGGGACCCAGTGGGTAAGCACTGGGCTGGTAAACATAAAGTTGGTGTTTCACTCCCACCAGCCAGTATGAGGGAGAAACATGGGGCTGCCTGGTTTTATAAAGATTCCCACCCAAAAAGCCTTTGAGTTCAATCTAACACAACGACGCTCCACTGGGGTTCTGAGGCTGTAAATCTTCACAGGAGTAGGCTTTCCATCTTTCTCCTGCGGGGTGTCCGGAAGTTTTGAATCACCAACCTTTCAGTTACCAGGCCTACACATAACACACTACACCACCAGAACTGTTCATAAAGACAACAGCTGTGGAAACCTTACGGGCAGTTCTGTTCCACCCTATAGGGGGGCTGTAAGTCCATAACCACTCCAGAGTGCTTTCTGTGTTTAGCTCTGTTGGAGCAGATTATGTTTGGTGTTCTCTCAACTATAATTCGGCTATGAGAACCAACAAGAAAGCCACAAAGGTGTCGATCCTGGGCCCTGACACTGTTGAGCCATCTAGAAACGTGTTCCCCAAACCTGTTACATGACGCCACAACATTACTGTTAAACACGACATTGTGGTTCATGCACTTCTTTGTGGTCCTTAGTCAAAGTAGAAGGCACTTGATAAAGAAGAAAACTTGAAGCTATTTCCTCTCAAAGGCTTAACTATAGTCTAGCAAAATGAAAACAAAACACCAAACCAAACCATATGTAAGTTCCTCCTATACATCATCCCCCACTCAGGTCTCAAAAAATAGTGTAATGAAACTTGGGGGCCTGGAGAAACACAAGGGGCTAAAGGGGATCACTGGCAGTGCTGCCATGCAACAATTCTAACACAAGCACTGGACGCCAGACTCCTAACCCAACTTACCAACCACCAGCCTCACCATTTTTATTTATTGGGATATATTTTAAGCAAGAATTTATTCCTAGTTACAAGGAATTTGGACCCTAAGAGAGTTACGTTGGAAAAAGAAGAACATTATGTTGGTTTGGATATGCCAATGATGTTAAGGTTTTCAAAACCCAATGTATATGCCAAAAAAAAAGGTATTAATTTTGAGAGACTATTATTCTCACTAAATAGTACACGGAACAAAGATGCTGCCTTTTTTTCAACGGAAAGATTTCTCAGGCTTCCGCCACGAGAAAGTTTGTGCATTTCTTGGGCTCTCATGGCTCTTGGTGTAGTGGGTTATGTGTCACATTGCTAAATGAGAGGTCAGCAGTTCAAACCCACCAGCCTCTCAGGAGGAGAAAGATGAGGCAGTTTGCCACCATTAAAATTTACAGCTTTAAACGAGCTGGAGGGCGGGATGCCACAGCCAGAGTCAACAAGAGGGCGCAGGTCTTGGTTTGTTTTGGTGAGAGAGAAGTAAGTCCAATCAGTCCCTGTATTTTATGGAAGGGACGGTTGAATGCTGGAGAAAGGCATGGTGGACTAATGGTGGGAAGAAATGACAAACACATGATTTAGCATAAAATAACTACAGCACAGTGGTGGTAGTGGTGTTTTATCTTTATATTGGTTTGCTTACAAAGTCTGTATACATTGTGTCTGACACTAGTCTTCATTCACATTGTGTTTCAATCTAAAACATGTACATGTTTTAGAAAATTAGTCACCATTGGACCATGGCCATCATTACCCTGTCTTTTCAGGTCCCCACCAGATGATTTCCATTTCTTTCCCTTCCTCCCTCCACCCAGCAAATTGTGCAACCCTGTGGTTTCAACCCTACCCATCCTCATCCCTCCACTCCCACTCCTTCCTCTCTTGGGTTCCCATACATGTTTTACTAGTTATCCTTCTATTTCTAAAATACTGGTCTTATGCAGTATTTGTCCTTATGAGACTGAGTTAGTTCACTCAGCATAATGCTCTCCAGTCTTTCCCAAGTTAGGTAGTGCTTTTCAAGATCGTAGCTCCATAGTGCTGCATAGTGTTGTTACTTTTCAAAGGCAGACAAGATTACATTCAGAAGAGGATTTGCAAAAGAGGAGACATTTAATATATCATGAAAGAAGAGCATAATCCAAAATCCTTTTTGGATGTTGGAAGATTAGGAATTGGAAATACAGAGCAAAGAGAAATGGAGGAGAAGAAGGGAATAGAAATAATTTTTGGAAGAAGGCATTTTCCATCAATTAGATAAATTAATTAGTTTGAAATCAAATAGGTACAAATACACATGTGCATCCAAAGTAGTAAAGGCTGAATTTTAGCCAGGGATTGAGATAAGTTTTGTCCATTTATATATATATAAACTAACAAATTAGCATAATTAGAGTGAAATCCAAAATTCAAAATTGGGTCTTAAACTGCTCTGTCTCCTGGTCCTTTAAAAATCTAACAAACCTATAGTTAAATTTGTATCTTCTAGGCTGCAACACTTCCATGATACATCTTCAAGGATATGAAC